TCCAAGAGATGGAACACCTCTTTCATGAGGACAGGCTGAGAGAAGTGAGGCTGTTCAGCCTGGAAAAGAGAAGGCTGCAAAGGGATCTGACAGCAGTCTTTCAGTATCTAAAGGGGAGCTACTGGAAAGAGAGGACAGACTCCTTTAGCAGGGTCTTTGATGACAGAACAACGTGAGATGGTTTCAAGCTCAAATCGGGTAGGTTTAGGTTAGATTTAAGGGAAAAGTCTTATACAGTGAGCGTGGCGAGGCAATGGAGCAGGTTGCTCAGTGATGTGGTTGATGCCCTGGCCTCAAGGTGAGGCTGGATAAGGCCCTGGGCAACAAGCTGTGCATGCCCCTGTTCATTGCAGGGGAGTTGGATTAGACTGCCTACAGAGGTCCCTTTCAACACCAAGAATTCTATGATTCTATCGTTTATGATTCCAGGGAGAAAAATAAAGGAACACAGGTGGCAAGGACAGCAAGGTAGCAAGCAATCAGGCTTCTGTGAAAGTCATTTTCAGTGAGAACTTAAAGCTCTGATATATACCACTAGCCAATTGAGCCAGACTAAATTGATTGAAAAGGTGATGCTGCCACAGCTATGCTGGCTTCGGATTTGAAAAACTGACTCTCTTCCCATGGTTTCTAAGCTGGAAAATTCCTGGCTACGCAAACACACCGCAATCAAAGTTCTTTGGAAGGACTCTCTTTTCTGTGAAAAGAATCCTATTATGCTGTTAAAGTGGCTGAAAAAAAAAAAAAAAAAAAAAAAAAATTATAACAGAGAAGATACAGTATCTTTAATATATTCAAGCAGCTAAGTTTCCCTTGTTATATGCTGGAAATTGATATTCCACAGTTAAATCTGAGATGGCATGTGGATTTGTTGGCACAGAACTGTAGCAAAGCTCATCGCTCTAAAAAGTTGCTGCAATGTTACACTGTTAGTATACAACTTCATTCTCTTGAAGGTAACTACTGACCAGAACTCCCATCTTTTCTCACTTGCTTCAACTGCTAGAGAGCAAGATATACCTTATTTATACAGTATGATTATTTATACTCTGTACGTCCAAATGCATGAATGTGTCACTTTTACAGTAATATCATCCCATTTCTTTACTTTCCAGAAGACTTTAATGGACAACAGCAAGAGTAAGAACAGTAAACTTTTAAAAAATTACATTTGGGCCAAATATGATATACTTTTCAAATTACTATTCCCTTAATTTTACTGGCTTTAGAAAACATTCCAAGAAAACACCTATGGGAAATATGGCAGACAGCCTTACACAGAAGTCAGAGAGAAATATGGTCTTCATCTAATTCAATTAACTGCCTTGAGTTGAATCCCAATGGTACAGAAAAATGTTTGCCTTCTTTCAGACATATTCTAAGACACAATTCATACTGCTTCCTCTATATAAAGAAGCATGGCTCAATAACATATACTCATGTTTTTTTTTTATTGTTCAAAATTTGAAAAATCTCTAGGTACATCTTCATGAATTATACTGACAGGTCTTCATTTAGGCAAAGATCTGAAGGCTTCAAATATTGTAAAACTCTACCTAGAGCTTTATAACAGATACCTCTACAACAGAGAAAAATGGCAATGGACGTTACAAAATTTCCCAAGATGGAACTCTGAACTGCATCTCTTGGAGATTAATACACCACAGCAAAAGACAAGAAAACCATGCAGAAAATCATTTCTGCATTTAGACTCTTATTCTGCCTTCAGTTCCTATGAGATAGTCAAAGGCAACATGCCAGTTGATCAATACGTCAGCATTTAATGCGCAATAAATGCTACTGAGCAAAAATCAGATAAACATTGCCTGTTGAGCAAAGTATGCCTTAATGCTGTCAGGAAGGAGTGCATGAAGTTTTGGATCACCCTATGTGGTGAAACAGCAGTCAGAAGTCTGACTTGGACTTAACAAAAGGAAACAGAGGGCAATGCTCAGCATGAACACAAATGCACATAAAGACAACCAGATTTCATTAGTGCAGATTTTAATTTTGATTAAATGCTTCCTTTTATATTGGGTCACATTCATTGTTTTCATCCCTGTGTTTTCATTAATATTTTAACAGACACGGAACATTAAGTTGCGTAACTTCAGCGTTCTAGCTAAAGATAACATCTTTAATAACAGCTACAGAAAGGCAGCTGGCATGCACTGCTACCCAACTGCATAATGCTGTGAGGCACAGTAGGCTGCTGTGGTTATTGTGGCATGCAATACAATGCATCAGTTCTCAATAACATGTAAAAGTAAAGTGCATGATTGTGACATTTGCTTAGTCTGAGTGAAAAATGAACTTACAAATGCATTGAATACAAAACCATTCAGGTGATGGAAATGGCTATGAAAGTCAAGAAGAGTCAAGGTGGTGACTGTACTAGGCAGAAACACCATAATTCTACCTTTCTTTAAATGATACGAAAAACTGTAATACACAACTGTTCAGAAATGTCTCAGGAAACAGTGGTAAACTATCAGTAATATTTTTCTTTTTTTCCTACTAACTACTGACTTTTCATTTGTTGGTTGGTTTGCTTTCCTTGTTCAGACAATTTCTAACTACTAATAATGAAACTTGAGAAAATTCAAAATTCTGGATCAAAATTCAGCTGAGGTACAAATAGCAAAAATCCTTATGTTTGAATTTCTTAGCCATGACGAATCTGAATGATGGACTATGATGATGCACTCTACTAAGACCCATTAACATCAGTAATTCATTTCCCACCAGTCCCAAGCAGCCCATATGGGGTGGTTAATTTCTTAGTGGTGTTATGGTTTACTATGTTTTCATTAAGATAAAGGAATGAAAAGCAAGTGTGATATGGTGTGAGACTGAGATTAGTTTACTAATCTGTGAACTCTCAATATAATTAAATTTTCAAGTCATTAGAGTGGACTAGTTCTTTTTTCTATATTTAAGCACAAAAAGTTCTGTGTGCGTACTAAACTTGAAAAACATTATGAGACTCTATGTAATCAATAGATGAGTAAAAATAGAACTCATACATTTTTAAGGACAGTTTTAAGAAGCAAATACTAATAATCTTATAAGAAACAGGATGCTGAACCAGTGAAGCCAAAAAGCTTTCAAGATAAAAAGCTATTGATATCTTCCAGCAATTCACTCAGAAACATCTGAGTTAAGAGGGAAAAACAAAACAAAAAACAACAACACTAAAAACCACTGGTGATAGCAGATGGAACAACAGCAGAAGGTGAACATCAGATTCCAGTGGACGTTAAGCAATAAACCAAAATAGAGTCCACAGTAACCCCCCTTCATATTTCCACATATTAAGTATCAGTTCTCAGGCCAAATATTCCCTCTATTTACAGACTTCTGTTGGATTGTACTACTTGCAACTAGCTGGAGACATAATATAGATGCACCAGACACTAAAAAAAAAAAATATAATTCATATAATTCATATCCATTATAATAGTCTCAGTCCTTACTCACTCCACTTCTTTCAACCACCACACCATGGCCTTCCTTGAACAACATCATGCCCCCTCTCCCGCATGCCCAGTAAACTTCTAGGGGGGGGGGGCCCGAAGAGGAGCTGCATGCCTACCGTCAGTATTTACACACTACCTGCCCAGTCAGGAGGACAAAAAGGACAAATAAGTTTTACATTAACATTATAGGTTTTCTTTAATACATGTAATAGATTTCAGCCAAAATAAAAAACTAACAGTCACTTCTCTTGTCAGGAAATAAGAATATACAAGACATCAAACAAAAGTGTTTAAAGTCACAACAGTCATTTACATATGAGAACGTGCAACAAAATGAAAAATTGTCTTTGCTAAAGAAAATGCTTCCTTGTTGTTTGTGTGCTTGAAAGAAGTTGACTGGCGTCTTTCAGTAGTTCACAATCACTGGTGATTACTGAGAACATTTATTGAACTTTCAGGTAGAAGCACTACCATTATTTCTTGTAGAAAATGCTTTTGAACAGGCAGCCCTAATGCCTATACAAACTGTAAAATTTCTTTGTTGTGTTTCTTGTTCTCCTTAGACATACCTCCTTAGAGATAGTGATATGAGATACATATCTCAGAAATAAAATGTGTACACTGTATTACATGGTATAGAAAATGCTGTAAATGCATAGTACAGCCTAGAAGTTCAAAAATCTTCGCATAAGTTGAGAATTTCTTGAGAAAAAGGTCTATCCTGTGCTCTTAAAAAGGTTATAGAAATCATGGTAACTACAAACACGTACAATAAACCGATCTAGTCTAAAAAGGGAATGGTGTCTTCCAAGGGTCAATCTTCAGATTGAAGGAAGTCATGACATTCAGAGGAACCTGGGCAAACTTGAAAAGAGAGCCTATGAAAATCTAATGTGGTTCAGTAAGTCCAAGAGTGATGATCTTCCACTTGGGTCAGAGCAATCCCAGGCATGCATACAAACTGGCAGAATTCACTGAGAGCAACCCTGTAAAGGATTTGGGGAATCCTGGACATGAGCAGAAAGTCCATATTCATATCCCAGAAGGCCAACAGTATTGTGCGTTGCATCAGAAGGGGCGGCCAGCAGGGAGAGGGAGGTGATTATCCCTCTTTCCTGTGCCTCGAGAGGCTTTATCTGAAGTACTGTGTCTAGGCCTGGGGCCCCCAGCACAAGAAAGATGTGGAGCTATTGCAGAGGGTCTAGAGGAGGGCCGTGAAGGTGATCAGAGGGCTAAAGCATCTCTCCCGTGAAGAAAGACTGAGAAATTTGGGCTTTTTAGCCTGGAAAAAGAGAAGACTCCAGGGAGACTTCATTGTGTCCTTCTAGTACTTAAACGGAGCACGTTGGCAGGAGGGAAACGGACTTTCTGCATAATCTAACAATGAAAGGACAAGGTAGAATTGCTTTAAAATAAAGAGGATGTATAGTCAATGAATGTACAGATGTTAAAATTATAAAGTACACCAGAGAGTTTGGCTAAGCAGTTATTATACCAAAAGAGAATAGACAGAATGCTTACCCATATCCTAGGCTCTCTACAAAACTTCAGAATAGAGGATCTCCTGAAGAGATCCTTCCCCACTGGTAGTCAGCTCTTAAATGGGTCAAGGAGAGGTGGAGCCAGGCTCCACCCCTTCCAGCAGCACAGGTGATCAATCAAAGGTTCAGGCCGTGATTCAGCATTTCCCATACAGAGGGAAAATTTAGGTTTCATTTTAGAAAGAAATTCTTAGAGGATGATGAGGCCCTGGCACAGCTGCCCAGAGAAGCTATGGATGCTCTATCCCTGGAGGTGCTCAGTGCCAGGTTGGATGGGTTTCTGGGCAGCTTGACCTGGAGGATGGCAGCAGGGAGTAGGAAATAAATCTTTGAGGTCCCTTCCAACCCTAGGATGGTATGATTCTATGACTCTATGAGCCCTTGATACTAAGCAAGGAAGGAAAAAGGGGCTTCACTAGTAAACTGCTTACTAGAAGTAAGCAGTGCAATTAACATTTATGATGATTATTGTGTCAAGCTTCCATTCTCAGTATAACTGTGAGAACAGTGTCTATGTAGAGTTTATTATTTAAACATGTAAAACTGTACAACACACAAAACTACCTGATCTTCTCTCAGAGGAACCTTTTATTTAAAGAGTGAAGTGGTAACTTTATATATACTGATCTGAGAAAACACCCAAATAACAAATACCTTACTAAAGTTTTGCAAGGTTCATGGAAACAACCAGGATTTGTATATACATAATTTGGATATAGGCCATTAACTAACTATCCAGAGAGTTAATCAAGAGAGAACACTTATAGCAGAACAAGATTGCTGTTATATAATACACTAGAGCTGTAAACAATGGAAATGAACATTGTTACCAAACAGTATAAATAATTCAAGACTTCTGGAAGTGAAATTAATCTACATACCATTTGATGCACACAGAACTACCAACTCAGACAATAAAAAAAAGTAAGGGAAAAACATACAGGTAATTAAAATTATACTTTCCAAGACAGAATACACTTAGCTCGGTAGTCCTAGTAGTAAGTAAAGAAATAAATACAAATGAAATTCTATTATATGCATGTAGATTTCTTTTTTTGTTTGTTTGGTTGTTTGGTTGTTTTTTTTTAAGGATTTTTTTTTTCCTTCTGGTGTGACTGGAAACACAATCTGCTGGATCCATCAACATCTACCTGATCAACTCCTCAGCTCTTTGAAACTTCAGTGCTATATTGGGAACTATTTTCACAGGGATGGAAACAATCTGATTTGCCAGTATTGGAGATGAGCGTTCTTCGTAAAGCCTCCAGTGCCTGGAAGTCCAAGATGAAGTCTCAATATTGTACTTCAAAGGAAAAATATATTAATGATGTCTTAACCTGTCCTTTGAAACTGAATCTCTATATCCAATTCCATCTAGCAAGGCTAATTGCATAGTATGCAAGAGAACTACTATTATTTCAATATAACCCACCATAGAGAAATGATGAAAGCTCGTACACTGTTGTAACAAGCTTTACATACAGAGCACTACAAACACAGCATCAAAAGTAAGTATCTTGTACAGGTGAAACAGAAGAAGTTCATAAGTTATCTTTGTAACCTTAGTAATTACATTTAAATATCAGCTGCTTTATCCTGAAAAGAAAACCTTGGGATAAATAATAAATAAATAGATTCAAATACGAAAACTGTATGTGATTCCATGGTCATCTGTTACTTTGTTAATATACATCTTTCATTATCATCACTTACTTGCTATTTATATAAAAATCTCCTTATTCTCCCTATTTTACAATTTCATGTAATATGTGTCCATATTGCAAATTGATTAAAGATACAGTAGAAAAAAATATGAAAATACAAGATGATAAGTAAATTTCATTGTAATAAACATACCAATGTTATCTTTTTCTTTAAAGACCTATTTAAGATTGTCTATCTACCCAGAACCCCCTGCCACACACTTAAAACTCCTCTACAATTCCTTGCCATGTAATGCGCACTAACTTGATTATTTAACATTAAATATTCATGTCAAGTTAGAAACCCAGGGTTTATGTTTTAAAAGAGTAGTCGTAACAGTTTTGGAAGTGAAACACTGAAGAACCAGAAAGTGTGTTATTTTGTTAGATTTCTTCACTAGGTTACTTCTGAACAGTAATTTGGATAACTCTTACTATGTTAAACAACTACATTAAAAAAAAACAAACAAACAACAACAAAAAAATAACAAAAAACAAACAAACAACACAAGATGACTGCTTTGGAAACAACTAGAAGTTTTAAAGCAAAAGCAAGAAAATTCCTACTCCTCATCAACACAATTCATACTGTTCATCAGTTCCACGGTTTCTGCCAGTGCAAAAGTAAACGATAAATACTGGGACCCAAGTTAGAAAACAGTTAAGCATATCCCCATATTTTCAGAGTTTAACATATGCTTAAAAGCATTCTGGAATCAGTGTGAGACCTGACAGTTTTCCCCTGAGATGCTGGAAGCCAGGAAAAGGTCTTCAATCTTCCTGAAGCTACAAATAAAGTGTTCAGCTAAAAATCAAACGCTAATACCTTTTACAGAACTAAACACTGCAACTTTTACCGAACTGCACTCACATAGATTTCTTACAAAGGAGTGAACAGGTACAGTTATCTTAGTTACGTACACCAATGTTTTATGTTACTGGTGATTAAACATCATGTAGAATTTTATTCAAAAAGCAACAACTTAACTAAAGTCATAAGGGCTTATACAACACAAAGATCCAGTTCCATGCAACGTATAATGGATTCAAAATAGCTTTGGCCACATGTGGACATTTAAGGATTCTATTTTTTTTTTCTTCTCCTTTTTCCCTTAAGTTTAGTATGAGATGTTTCAAATTGTTAAAATGAACAGCTATGAAAAGTGCAAATAATACTACTTTTAATCAAACACAGAAATAGATTTCGAGCACAACATAACACATTAATAATGTGCTAATTACAATATTGTATTCTGAAAGATAAATATATTAGCAAGCCAGAAGGATCTGGCAGTATTTTATTATACTTTAATAGAAGGAAAACAGGGTTAAACAGATGGCACTCAGGATTTCTCAATGAATTTAGCATCTGTGAGTACACGTTGCATAAATGCCAATTAAAATGTGTCCGAGTAAATTTAAATCCCTTGCTGATAGAATGTAAGTCAATCTAGCTGGCTTAAAATCAAGGTTAAACTTAATCGTCTGCTGAACTCAAAGGAAGTTCCTCTCCAATTGTACAGAAATTCCCAGTGAAATAATAAAACAGTGCTCCTATTGATTTGTATTTATTTACATTCACAACTCTCTTCCCAAGTGCTAGGCTGAAGCACAAAGGAAAAAACAACAGTACTAAGTGAATCATTTGGCAAGGCTAAAGTGAAAAACATCCTTCTTTGATTTCTAAAGTTTCTGCAGAAATCTTCTGCAGAACTTTCCTTTTAAGTACTTTCATGAAACAATTACTTCAGAAGTGTCTTCATAATTCTTATTAACCACAAAGGCCACTTCTTACTTTCCTCTACTCTATGATTGAAGAATTACCAGTGTTATGAAATTAGGCCCTCATTTTTCACACAATGCAAAGTGAATGAGTATCAAATAATACAACATGTAGAGAAAAGGTTTACTGAAAACTTAAAGCAATGTTGTTATTTAACCCTGTAGCCATTCTAATTCAATTTGACGCTTAAATATTTTGTAATAAAGATGCACAGAGATTAACAGAAACAAAAAAATACCTTTGGTAAAAATGAAACAACCCTACATTAAAATAAAACAAATCAGAAAACATCCAATTGAATTTAAAAAGCTGAAAAAAAGCCTTTGCCATGTATTTCAAGATCTTAAAGGTCCCTTTCAACCCAAACCTTTCTATGATTCTATTGAATAGATGGACTGTAATTCCTCCTATTTATAATGTTGGTCTACGACACCAGAGGCGGATGCTGGTGGATGGCAGTAGAGGCTGAGCCTTCCCACCATTATTCTGTTACTTTTTTTTTTGCCATGTGCCAGATGACAGCAGAGGGGCAATCAGACAGAACGTCATCGGATGTGGATGAAGCAAAGATATGTAACTGAATTCTTTCACGTGGAAAAAAGAAATGCACCTATTGACATTCATCAACGCTTGGTGAACATTTATGGAGACCATTAAGTAGATGTGAGCACAGTGAGGTGGTAGGTGGTGTGTTTCAGCAGTGGCAACAGTGACAGCGGTCACCTCCTCTCACAAAGATTTTTCATCAGAGGTGAAAATGCACTGCTAATGGTGATGACTGTTTTGAAAATCAGTGTTTTGTAGTTGAGAATTTTCTCTGTCAAACAGTGTAATTGTGCTCTTAGTTGTAGTTTCCATGGAAATAAATAGGAGACATTACTTTCAGAGCAATCTACATACAATGTGAAGTCCTGCAGGTGTGTACCCAAGAAGACTGAGGATCCACTCACGAAAAAACAGTATTTGTGTGATGTGCTGAGCCACCGGTAAAAATCTGGTATTACTGTCTGAGGCCAACCTACACAAAGCAAAACTCAAATCTTTTGCAAAGCTAACCAATTAAGTCTCTTTATGCATAACCCATGTGCAGTCTTTTCCCATACCAATTATTTCATGCTTGCAGCATTGAGTTGAGGAAAAAGCCAATCAGAAGCCATAAAACATACAGCACAACAGCAAATGAAATTAAGTGTCTCAAGTGCAAATAACTACCTAAGAAACGAAATCTGAGCTAGGCATGCATACATACATACTAGCAACAAATTAAATGGTGGTAGTCAAGAAAAAAAAAAACAACAACACAACACTAAATATTATTAAGAGTGCAATGGAAACACTATTGCAACACTCAGGAACTATGAAAGCTTTCCTTGAAGTGGAAAAACACAAGGTTTATCACCATCTTCTACAACAGAAGGAATAAAGCAACCCAGCAAGAAACACGCATCACTATGTACATTTAGATTACAGAAATCATGCTAGATTTTGAATATTTCAATAATTCAGTAAAATCTGTTTCACAGGCATTGC